GTTTTTTTCATTTCGGGGCCAGGAGGTCCAGAGTACAGTTTAAAATACAATGCTGATGAATCAGAGCGCTATAATCTTGATTTGAATACTTTATACAGGTAGGTGGCTAAGCGGAGCAATATATTACTGTCTGTTGTTGATGACAAGGTAATGAAATGTTGAATACATGGATGGCTATAATAGTACATAGGTAAATAATGTTCCCGAATTTGGGCGTAATATGCACATATAAACAGAACATGATATTCGTATTCATCACCTTCTCCGCAGTACGGGCATAATAAATCAGCGGGTTTACAATTGTGAACATGTTTGTGTTTAATAATTTTAAAATTATTTGAACAGCATCTGAACTTAGTCCTTCTTAATTGTACATATTTTATACAGGTATCCTTCCTCACTAAGCTATACCTTTATACTAACAAGTGTTCGGATGTGCTTGGATCAAAGGTCTGTTCTTGTTCATATACTAGAAACTGCAGACACAGTTAAGCTCACCTGTGCATGTGGTGTTGTGTGTACAAACAGCTACGGAATCATCTCCATAGTCCACGCAAAACCACGGGTCTAGTGTACGATTCCGAGTTTAAACCCCATCAAACAGTATTGATAGCAGGTGTTAGCTGGCACCCAATGAACAGGCATGTTAGCTAACATACAAAGGAACTTATGCTGAAATTCAATTTATGGAACTGAGCCAGACATCACTTCCATCACTGATGCATCAAATTAAGAAGCCACCTCCACGTGTCTATTATCAAACGTTAGTTAGAATGAAATATGACGCCTTCAACTTTGTACCATTGATCAGTCCGTTTTTGGAGCAAGATTTGTATGACGCTCGTTGACGGTTTCCTAGAAAGGACGTGCGTGGTTGTACCCGAAGTCTTGCGAAGGGTAACCCAAGTAGGCTGAAACTGTTGAAATATTGATCAACGTGAAAGTAAATATAATATTGGAATGTTGAAGTCACCTCACTTGCCCTACCGATTTGTGGATAGTTTTATGCTACCCAGGAAAACGAAGATTACGACTGTGAATAACAGCTTCTTGTTTATGGCATAGAGCTACGTGTGGAATCTTACACCTTTATTAAGTTAAAAATGCTACGTTACCATACCGGAAACATTAAAGATATATCACCAATAGTTCTCGGATATTATTTTAATTTCATTTATTTGAACTCTTCTGATGATTCGATTATTGCCTTCATTTTCTAAATTTTATATACATGTGTATAAATATCACGCTGGTTTAAGGGGTATTTGAACGGCATTGTTGGCTGATGAAATGTGTTTGCAAATACAAACTAGCTCAACAAAGAATCACTCGTGACAGAATTTAATATTTTACCTCGAGCCAACGTTTACGTTTAGTCACCAGTGACGAAACATTGTTCGATCAGTCCTCGGTCTCTAGTGGGCGCCATGATAATTCAGACGTCGGCAGTGTGCGTATCATCCCTGTATGTTACACCATAACCATGGGCGTAGTTCTACTCAGTTTGTTCTTGCTGTGACCATCACAGATGATTAATCGTGCAAAGAGCATTTCACTCAATAATGGGGGAAATAACTGACTGATGCACATAAATGCTTCTTGGATGTGGAGGTAATTAGTTTCAGCTATGATGTGTTGTTGATGTTTGTATTACTCAGACTATTGTCTGTCGCTACTGTTTACCTTCCGTCACGGACTGGCCCCGGTCAGACATTGTTTGACCAATGTTTGACGTGCAGTGAGTAACACTTGTGAAGCGTTTTTCAATACTCTGTAGGCAGGATGTTGACTCAGAATTACGCTCGACATCAGTGTTTTGAGAAATGACAAAAAACAAAAGCCTTTAAAAAGCATCTGAAACGCTTCTGAGAATCACAAACACCACTGATGATAGCCAGAACTGTGGTTTGTGATCAGTAATTACTGGCAAAGAAACCAGAATATATCCTTAGGCAAAGTTTGCTTATTAAAATGTTCAGTTTCAATTGGTGCTTATTCCCACATCGAGGTCTGGGCTGGAAGATTCCGCTACTCAACTTAACATGGATCCCCTGGGTAATGCTTCATCTCTGGTTATAACTCTGAGGTTTGTGCACGTGTCGGCTTCTACTGGATGCTGAGGAGTTTCTTCTCAAAGACAGCATATTCTTCTCATGTTAGTTCAGGTGACTCCAGGAATTATATAAGTGGTATCGCACTGAGCTGTGAGGTCGCACAACACTGCATGCTTCGCTTCCCTATGTTGCACCTGGGTGGTATTACACGAGCACATGTTTGTTTTCACACGGCAAATCCCAAACTTTGTTATATTCAAAATGTAAACATTATTTCTCTGAAGCCTCGCGTGTCATATGACACGTTTATTCACATGTTAATCCCTCCTCCGTATGGCACAGGTTGTTGTTTCTTATAGTCATGGTATTGATTACAAGGTTTCTTATTGTAGGAGATAATGTCAAGCATTAAAGTATTTAGTTGTTAATACGACCTTAAGTGGACTCCCAAGTACTCCTCCAAAATAGCTAACATTTGACCCCAGTAGGAAATAATCAACACCAACGCTCAGGTTCGTTATTTCACAGTCGCTAATGTGTCCACACATCGACCCGTGTGTCATCACAGGTGCAATAGACATACAATGCTAGGGTAAAGTATATGTCAAAGAAGATCTGGATAAACCATTTATCAGTGATGAGCAGCAGGAATGATGACGTTCCCACGGATTGCTATGGACGCGAGTTACCGGTGATTCTCTCAATCTCGCTAACTAAGTAGTCAGATCTTGACAGGACGTCAACACGAGCACGTGACACAGATCTTGACAGGACAGCAATACGAGCACGTGACATAGATCTTGACAGGACAGCAATAAGACCGGGATCTTGACAGGAGCTACGCGCCACAGATCATGACTTGAAGGTGTTACCACCGCATGGCACGGACCACGGTCATAATCTTTAGATTACACTTCAGTTTCTACCTTAAACGATTTGTTTCTAGCAGTTTTAGGATCTCCTCGCTGTTGATAATAAGAGGGGTTTATATATTCCGTTTACTGGTATCTGACGAGACATGATACACCATTGCGACTATGTGACACACATGTATCACGTTTTCAGTGTATTAGCTGATGGACTCCGGTGAGTGTGACGCGTTCAGACTAATTGGTCTCCATCTATTGAAACAATGCACTAATTAGCAGGTATATGTCTTTGCCTCAGAACAACTAGTTATGATATTAAGAATGCATGACTTGTCGCAGTCTGATAACTGTAGTTAATTAGTCTGTCTGTCGTGAGTGTGCCTTGGGATTAGCTCCACGGACGGACGTTGGTGCTCATTTGGGCGCTGAAGGGGACTGACGGATGTGGTGGAAGAGAGAGATGTGGGGGGACGGATGACGGGTGATCTTAGGGTAGGGTAATTGTTTGGGTGTGATAGAGAGATAGGGTGTGTTTGGGGTGATATACAAGGATGTTTGGGTAACATGTCTGTAACTGTTTGGGTGTGATCAGGGATACGGTAACTGTTTGGGGTTGATATCACGGACAGTGTAACTGTTTGGGAGTGATATCAGGATAGGGCAACTGTTTGGGGTGATATCAGGGTGCTGACATCACGGATAAGGTAACTGTTTGGAGATGATATCATGGATAGTGTAACTGTTTGGGTGTGATATCAGGGATAGGGTAGCTGTTTGGGTTGATATGACGGATAGGGTAACTGTCTGGGGGTGATCTTAGGGTTAGTGTAACTGTTTGGGTGTGATATCAGGGATAGGGCAACTGTTTGGGGGTGATATTACGGATAAGGTAACTGTTTGGAGGTGATATCATGGATAGTGTAACTGTTTGGGTGTGATATCAGGGATACGGTAACTGTTTGGGGTTGATATCACGGACAGTGTAACTGTTGGGAGTGATATCACGGATAGGGTAACTGTTTGGGGTGATATCAGGGATAGGGCAAGTGTTTGGGGGTGACATCACGGATAGGGTAACTGTTTGGAGGTGATATCATGGATAGTGTAACTGTTTGGGGGTGATATCAGGGATAGGGTAGCTGTTTGGGTTGATATGACGGATAGGGTAACTGTCTGGGGGTGATCTTAGGGTTAGTGTAACTGTTTGGGGGTGATATCACGGATACGGTAACTGTCTGGGGGTGATCTTAGGGTTAGGGTAACTGTTTGGGTGTGATATCAGGGATAGGGCAACTGTTTGGGGGTGATATTACGGATAAGGTAACTGTTTGGAGATGATATCATGGATAGTGTAACTGTTGGGTTGATATCACAGATAAGGTAACTGTTTTGGGGTGATATCACGGACAAGAAATTGTTTAAGTTGATATCACGAAGAGATTAACTGCTGGGAGTGATATCACTGATAGAGTAACTGTTTGGAGATGATATCACGGATAGAGTAACTGTTGGGATGATATGCATAGGGTAACTGTCTAGAGTGACATCAAGGATAGGATAACTGTCTGGGAGTGATATCACGGATAAGGTAACTGTTTGGGGATGATATCACGGATAGGGTAACTGGAGGTGGCATGAAATGTTGAAGCTGTTGAAGGAGGTGGCATGAAATGTGCCAGTTTTGTGGAAGACGTGGTGGCTGAGCGGGTTAAATCGATGGCTTCGTGTCATGGCGATTAGGTGCCTGACTCTGAGAGTGTGAGTTTAAATCCCGCATGGGGCTCTACCACAAACGAACCAGAATCAATACTTTACTGTGTAGTCCCAAAGGTAACATATGCTATCTCTTTCTGAAAGGCATTGTGTATTCTGTTTCGGAGGGTGGCATGAAATGTTGAAGCTGTTGAAGAGGGTGGGCGAGGTGTTATAGCTGTTGACGTTAATGCTGTTTAACAGTTTTCAACGCGAAACACAACGTTGCATGTCTATATGTGATAGGTTCAATTTACCTAGCACCCCTCGACTTTTCATATATTGGCGCATATTGTAAGCACGACCTCTTATCCGACTTTTTCAGCAATTGGTATAGATCACAACTGGTCAACGCCCGTCCCCCTGCCTAGCTTCTTCCCCTCTCCAACAAACTTCACCTACACCGAAGGGGACCTCGCCAGACTGGAGTGCGCAATCAACAATCTCAGTACAAAAAAGGTGAGTGGATAACATATTTCAATTGGCGTGATGATGCGTAGTACTTGCAACAACAGGCCTGTACCGGCGGCCGGAAACACAAGGATGCAACTTGCAAGTGAGGGTTCTGTTTATGACATATTTACCGCACTTGTAAAAACACACATAATAACTGAAACATAAATAAATTGCTGTTATTCAAGATCAATAAGATATATCAACAAAACATTCCAACATTTGATAACCCAGAGTACCATACAGGACACCGGGTCCACCTGGCATTGTATTCTCACATCTGTAATGAACTTCACTCTTGTCCTTGTCCTCGGTGTAATGTTTGAACGTCCTCAGTACTGTGCGTGTATTCAGTCTCTGTCACATAAAGCATATGGTCGTCAGGTTCTGTTTACGACATCGTGAGTGTTGCGGAGCCATTCATTTGTTCAGAGCAAGAATGAGGGTGTGGTCTGCATATTTCGATTCAAGTTCTAAAGAGGTTCAATAGTTTTTTAGGCCAAGGTAATGGGTTGATGTTATGGATGTTCATTTCTGTTCAGTACATATTGTGTCTGAATGATGCTGTTACAACAGACGACCCTGTTCACTCAAGGAGCAACTGCCCGAAAATGACTATTTATTTTCAACTCGCCCTAGGAAATACCAATTTGCCACAAGTGAAATCTTAGTGATTAGAGACTGATTTACGGAGACATGGTATTTCTGATAACGGTCATCACCTAACACAAGCAATATGCTATGCATGTGACCCTTCTGATTTTGTGATGGCAACATCAGTTGTCACTCTCCGTATCCCGCAGCTAACTCTATCTCGTCCACTAGTTGTCCTGTCACTAGTAACTCTCCGCATCCAACAGCTGACACTATCTCGTCCACTACCCTTCCTGTCACAAGCTCCGCATCCAACATCTGACACTATCTCGTCCACTACCCGTCCTGTCACAAGCTCCGCATCCAACATCTGACACTATCTCGCCCACTACCCTTCCTGTCACTAGCTCCGCATCCAACATCTGACACTATCTCGTCCACTACGCTTCATGTCACTAGCTCCGCATCCAACATCTGACACTATCTCGTCCACTACCCTTCCTGTCACAAGCTCCGCATACCACAGCTGACACTATCTCGTCCACTACCCTTCCTGTCACTAGCTCCGCATCCAACATCTGACACTATCTCGTCCACTACCCTTCCTGTCACAAGCTCCGCATCCAACAGCTGACACTATCTCGTCCACTACCCTTCCTGTCACTAGCTCCGCATCCAACAGCTGACACTATCTCGTCCACTACCCTTCCTGTCACTAGCTCCGCATCCAACAGCTGACACTACCCTTCCTGTCATTAGCTCTGCATCCAACATCTGACACTATCTCGTCCACTACCCTTCCTGTCACTAGCTCCGCATCCAACAGCTGACACTATCTCGTCCACTACCCTTCCTGTCACTAGCTCCGCATCCAACATCTGACACTATCTCGTCCACTACCCTTCCTGTCACTAGTCACTCTCCGCATCCAACACCTGACACTATCTCGTCCACTACCTTTCCTGTCACTTGTCACTCTCCGCATACCACAGCTGACTCCAGCCCGTCAACTACTCACTTGTCACTTTGTTGTTTCCTTCCTGAACATACCCACAGTTAGATCTCGCTAGTCCACTATCCGTGTTGTCTCCATGGTTTTGTTGTTCCCTTCCAGAACATACCCACAGCTAGATCTCGCTAGTCCACTATCCGTGTTGTCTCCATGGTTTTGTTGTTCCCTTCCTGAACATACCCACAGCTAGATCTCGCTAGTCCACTATCCGTGTTGTCACCATGGTTTTGTTGTTCCCTTCCAGAACATACCCACAGCTAGATCTCGCTAGTCCACTATCCAATTTGCCAATGCGGTTTTGTTGTTCCCTTCCTTAAGATACCCACATACCTCTCTCTCAGGTCTACTGTCCGTTTGTCACTCCGGTTTTGTTTGTTACTCCCCACCTTAACATACCCATAGCTGGATCTCGCTAGCTTAGTGTCCGTCTTATCATTTAGTTTGTGTCATAAATGTGTATACATACTGGATTTAAGTATACGTGGGGTATAATCACTTCAGCTCTTCGCTCACAATTCATGAGCCACAGGTATCACGCTCGGTCAACTGTGAGGGTGTGTTGGTCAGATGCCTGTATTCGATTGTGGCAGTAAATTCTTGTGCATTCCATTATCACTTTACTAAAGTGTCTGTTAGCCATTCGTATAGATCACACATATATATTTACACGGTCTGGGGTGAGGATTACCCTTGTCTGTCCTCGGGTTCCGTACAACATTACTATGCCATTCCCAGAGCTCCTTTATATCCTATTTACCCAGAAAATGAACAGTTGATTATATCACACCTGAATGGAAGATGGGAGTGAACACTTGTAGTGGCGACTTGCAGTGGCGCAGTTTCTCAGCAATGACATCTCTAAAGATGTTTCGATCCGAAGTTAAACAGGACCTGAGTGCTCTGGTTGTCATTCCAGTTTTGCAGCTTTCATGCATCATCGAGAATTAGGTATATATAATGTTATATAGTCAGGGGCGTAGCTGCCATCATAAAAAAAAATCCGGGCTTACACATAAATTTTGCTTTAACAAAACAAATTGTTCTAATTCTTGACATATTATCAGAACAATTAAAAAACTGGTATAATCGGAATCCCTCTGTGAATCATATTGGCTACAATATTCTTTGATAACAAAGCATTACCAGTAGTCACTATGTACAGTAAACATGTTATTCTTCATAAATTTGAAAGGTGTCTTTCTTTCAGTGATGATTGCTTTTCCATCGACATGTATCATATGTGAATGTTTTGTTACAGTCATGATTATATGTGAATCATAACTGAAATGCAGGTATTTGCAATCGCCCTACAACGAAAACGTATGCGTTACTCCATTCTGTAGTCATTCTGCAGGCTTTTAGGTGGAAATCATCAAGGTTTCAAAAAGGTCCATCATTCCACAAAGGAAACTTTTCATTCTATTGATTGCTTTGTTTTGTGTTGTCGTCACTTCTTAACAATGCTTTACAGTTGATCAAGTAACCGAAAGTAGATGGATCCGTATTCATTTGAACACATGCCAACCTTTTGCTCTCACAGTGAAACATCCTGTCTGACATAATCATTGCCAACCCTTGATGTGTTTTCGACATAATCTGAATCATGACGAAGAAATCTGACATTGAGAAGGTTGTTGACGTCTTTTCCAGGCAACACAATAAAAAAAAGTATATTCATTTAAGACTAAGTGATATTTCAGGCTTCAGTGAAGTCCTCTGCAACAGTTTGAAACATTACACTGCATGACCAGCGTTGGAGAATGCTGTGATTCATCTTTGATTATTTTTCATTTGCTTATCATTTCATTTAGCAAAACCAGTCGATGCATGGTATTGTATCAATGCAGTAAACATGCGTTAAACAATGTGAAAACATATTTGCATATGAGGAAGTCACATTCAATAAAATGATTATTATGTCTAAATTAACGGTAGACTACTCTCAGTTCTCCTTATGATTTCAAAATATTGATAATATAACAACATTTTGAAGCTATTGAAATCATCACACTTCAAACGATAACACTTCTGGGGTCATAAAAAATGAAAGTTGGGCAAGCACTCAATACATCTAAATATAAAACTTTGCCACCTATCGGGCTTTCACCAAAAAATTGACTTGCTACGCGCCTGGGAGTATACATTGTAAGGTATTTGAATGTACTTTATTGCATATTTGGATCCTTACTCTTTCACATACTCCCTGAATTGAATTAGAACATACTTCATCTTGCGTCATCTTGGATGTAGAAGAGTGCGACTTGTCTATGACCCAAGTAATGTCGGATGTTGACCGTACTAATGAAATGTCTGTCCAGTTTACACGAGGGCTGCTGTAGCACAAGTAACACAACATGTCGTGTTCACCTCCTATGAGCTATTGCCGGTTATTTCTTCACGATGTATCAGTATTTGGTACCCGTAGTGAAATATACAGTGTTAGTTTCATTGAGTACATTTTGCCCGGGCATGTATCATCTGCACACCCCGGGTTCGAAAGTAATTTCCGACCATGATGTATTATTGGTCAGTCACGTTGACCATTTCTGGAAACCATACCATGTGTTATAGACATATGGGAATCACTACGAAATGTTCATTTGACCATACCATTATAGATTTATTCAAACCACAAACGTAATGACTTTATGGCTATGTTTAACATTAGGAAAGTTTACTGTCCCCGTAAATCCTTAGCTTCGGGAAAAAAAAACTAACAGGAAGGCACCCGTAGTCTCAATCCCGGGAATCCTGGAAATTCGCAATCCAGGGAATCCAGGAAAGTGAATGCAACTGAAAATGGGACATAGAGTTAAACTCGCCTACGCATATTGCCCTAAGCTGGGCGCTGAACGTATCCCCAAGTTCCAAAAGCATTGTTGAGACTCTTAGGATATTACCTCTTTGACTGCCAACTCGATACTAGAAATTAGATGTATTTCAATGGATTAATGGGCATTTCCAAGACGACCCTTAATTCCAGAAATATGTGTTGTTACTCAGGCTGCCCCGGGGACATAATACTCTCGCGTGTTGACGAAATCCGCGTTGTCAAGATTTTGTCTTCAGAGAATGATGGGCTCTTTTAGATTAACTCCAGTTGAATGAAAGACTGCTTATCTCTGCAGCATGGTCGTAAAGTTGTGTTGAGACTGTTTGGCTACATTTCACTGGAGACTAATTGAACAAGGCAATTTTTGCCTCCAGAGATACATGCTGGACAAAGTGAGAGCCATCAATGAGACAAATTCGTAAAACAACACTGCTATTCATTCATTCATTCATCCATTTTCCCCGCAACGCGTTTTGCGGGGGTATTAAAATGGACTCCGTCCGTCCGTCCGTGCGTCCGTGCACATTTGTCTTTTCCGGAGCAGAACTTTAACCGTTCAATATTTCT